CAACCCCCATCTGGTCAGCCTCAATCTTTCACATCTCTTCTTTATGCATCTCCATGGCAACTACCTTAGTTTACTTAAATAACTTCTTCCTGTCTCTGGTTTTCCCAAGCTACCCCCATTAATCCATTTCTCCACACTGCTGCAAATCATCTTGTTTTCCCCCTCAAATATATTCAAGATCACATTCTTCTACTCCCTTCAATAGCTCTCTCTACTCTACCACAGCTTCAATGTCTACATCCTGGCTTTCTACAGGATCCTTCAACATACAACCCTACCCGTTGCTCTGAAGTCCACCCAGACTCTCCCAAACAGGCATAGCTCTGAGGCTGAGTGCCTCATGCTTTTGTCCCCACTGCACACCTTTGCCTCTACCAACAAACACACCTGCTTTTTTATCTTCCAGCTAAATTCTTTGCTTTCAAAATTCAGTTTGAACGCCACCTCCTACAGGAGGTCCTCCTCTACACCCAGGGCTTAGGCTGGGTGTATCTCTGTGCTCACACTTTTCCTTTTCCTTAGGGCAGACACCCACCATACCCATCACTCTCCTTAAAGCAAGGATTGACTTTGTTTCTTCTTTTTATTTCTTTTTACAGTACATGAGTTGCATATTTCCTAAAAATGAGGATAGTCTTTGACATAACAACCCAAGCCAGGAAAGGAGCATGGATACGTGATATTCCCTAATTTGCAGACTTTAAAACTTCACCAATTTTTGCATTCATGTTCCAATTCAGGAGCACATGTTGCATTTATTGTCCTAAACTGAACTCCTTGCTTTAAACCATAACTGCTCTGCAGTAACTATGCATGACTTTGATACTTTCAAGTAACATGAAACAGTTTATTTTATGGAAGAGCCCTCAGTTTGGCTCTGTCTGATGTGTCTCTGTGATTAGATTCAGGTTATTCGTTTCAAGCAGAGATAACACAGCAGTGACATTATGTCCTCAGTGTGTCACTTTAGGGGCCACACATTGTCTATTGGCAATGTTGACTTTAAGTCTTGTGATTAAGGTGGAGTGTGCCAGGGTTTTCTGCTCTAAATCTATTTTCTCCTTTGAAATGATCGATGTATGGTGAGGAGATACTTGGAGACTGTGTGAATACCTTGTTCCTCATATTCTCACTACTACTTCAGCATCTGGTTCTGCTCTGTTGTCAGGTGAAGGAGATGGGTAACTTGAAAGTGGCCCCTAAATTTTTCATTCTCAAGGATCCCTTTATTTCCCCCTTGTTGCAGAACTCATAATTTGTAAGATTTTATCCTCTGAACAAATAACACTTCTCTGAGATTATGTCTCTTTTTCTCATGATATATTCATGAGGCATGTCTAGGGCACTGTAAATTCAGAAGGCGGAGCCTCCTTAAAGACTCACTGCTAAATGCCTAGAAGCCATCACTGCACACTTGCCATAGAGTAGGTCAATCAAAATTTGGTGAAGGACAGAATCTGACTGCCAATTATAGATGGTACCGGAATTTTATGTCTGTAGCAAGGAGGTGAGACTGATAAATGCAAGGGTTTAACATTTTAGCTAGCCTCAGAGGCTTTGCCACTGGCCAGTGTTCCCATAAGTTATGGCTTATATTTAGCTGTCCTCCCAAAGCCTCATGCTTTTCCAGAGGTAGTTAAATCTAGAGTGTGTGTTTGACTTCTGGCAAGGGCTAGGCCTGAGGGCACTAGGATTAAGGGAATGAGTTGTACCCATTCTAAGTAGTCTGAATAAGATAAAGGGGGCAGAAGGACGCTGTTAAAGTCTCTCCTATTGCCATTGCTACCTTGTGCATGTATTATTTCTCCTCTTCGAGGCCTGTTTGTCATCCCTGTCTTGGAGCCAACCAACTATGGACTGAATCCTCTGGGAACTGGGAACTAAAAACTTTTGCCCTTTAACTTTGGGTGTTGGGTATTTTGTCTCAGCAAGGAGGGAAAAGTAACTAACACACCCTATCATGAAGATTTGAAAAAGAGATTGGACAGAGTGAGAGAAAACCTACTCCCACCCCTGCCTTTCCCCATGGTTCATTCTAATGCGGTAACCAGCTAGACACCTACAGAGCACACAGTACTGTAGAGTTTTCAAAATCACCTACTTTCCCTTCACACTTGTCTGAAATTAGCACTGTCTTATTACAAAGGCATAATATAACAGAAGATCGCTTTTAAAGGGGGTGGGAGGGAAGGAAACTAACATTAATTGAGCATCTTTTATGCCCAGTGCTTTCATTCCATTGTCTCTATTAATCCTTAATCATTGTCTCTATTAATATGGAGTCAGGTGGCTGTAATCCATTTACAGATGAGAAAACTGAAGCTGAGTGAGGGGAAAGGGTTTGCACTGAGTCCTACAGCTAGTGTGCAGCAGGCTTGAGATGGGAATGTCTCCACCGTCTCCAAAGTCTGCAATTTGCACACGCACCAAGCCGCCTCTCCACCCCTCCCATTCCAGAATGATGAATGCCCTTCTCTTGGCTATGTACGTGCTACTGATCACAACCAAGACACACGAGAGACAGAAAGCTCTTGGGCCACATACACTGCTATTGCTTTTTTTTTTCCCAATGACTTTATCATTCCCCAGTAGCTGTTCTTTGGGCCTCTTATTTGCCTGAAGAAGGAACTCAGGCTCTCAGCTCTTCCGGTCTGGTTGTGCTGCAGCAGCAACTGGAGAAACAGACCATTCCCGGGGAAAAGTTGGGCAGTATGGAATAATATCTAGCCGGTAGGGAGGAGGGCGACTAAGGCCCCAGAGAAACGTGGGGAAAATGGAAAAGAACAGACAACACTACTGAGCAGCAAAAGAAAATGCCAGTTCAGGAAGAAAGGGGAGGCACTAGAGCAAAGTGGGAACAAGGCAAGAGAAAGTTTTTTTTTTTAATTGTTTTTTGTTTGTTTGTGTTTAGAAAGGGAGAGAAAGAAAGCAAAGACAAAAAAAAAAAAAGACCAGACTGAGAAAGATACTGAATTGAGAGAGCTCTGAGAACTCGAGAGAAAAATAGATAAAAAGGAGAGAGGAGAGATGGAGGAAGCGGAGAGAGAAAGAAAGAACTGAGAGGGGGAAGACATCGTCGAGACAACAGAGAGACCCCGTGAGAGGAGAAGCAGGCGAGTGACCCCGGGATAGCCGCGCGTCCCCTGCGTGGCGCCCCCCTGCGCCGTGGCGAGGCCCTGCTCCAGACGCCGGT